AAACTTATTTTTACGAAATGCAGTCCAGACTTCAAACAGATGTCGTGATCGAAAGCTTTGAACTTGATCACAATACATGATGTATGCATTAAAACATTAAAGACGCATATGAAAGTATACAATAATATTATATTACTATAAATTGTAACACTATGTGCGTTTACGGACACGCCGTAGACGCGCAATCGTTACCAAGAAACCGTAAACATAGTTATTACCTATTTTGTTCATTTTACATGTTTTTTTGTTACACCCGAAGTACGGTTTATATCGTCCCAGCAATAATAATAATAACAACTAACAAGGCATATCTAACACGAACGTGTGTCTCTGTAGTACAATTGAGTTTTTTTTTAATTCGATCAGACGAAGCGTATATTACAATTTTTGTTCGATTTACATGATGTAATGTTTATTCTGCTGTAATGATCTGTAAAAAAAATGTTCAGTCGATTCCACTAGATCGCACAATCGCATTACTTAACGACACAGCTAATATTTTATACACAGTAAAAAAATGTCATTTAAGAAACGCTACTTGTACCGGTCGTCTAACAATTAAATACCAATTTTATCGAGAACTGCTATTTCACACAATTTGTACTCAAACAAAAAAAATTTCGCAATCAAAAAGAGTGTATAATACATTTAAAAAGAATTATTGAACGCATTTATTACGTTTACAACTTACCCAACTTATCAACAATTTATATTCGATATAAGATGAAAAGTGGTGTGGTCTATTATAAATTATAATATTTTAAAACAAAAAAACAGATCTTTCTAAACTATAAAATAATATAATTTTTTCAATGTTTATGTGTAAATAGTAAACACAAACAACGAAATTACAATTATATAGTCAACTACAAAATGTGGTCGTCGCATATTTTTGCCTCCGTAACTAGCACTAACGTGTTTTTATACTTTACACCGGTTTTATTTTAAAACCAAATTTTGGCTATAATCGTTTTAGTAGGTCCGACCATGGAAACGGAGCACGCTTAACTGTACATTTGCTAGTAAATTATTGCCAATTTTTTTACATTATAATGCATTAAGGTACCAACCTACATGCCATATAAAGTCGGACGATGTTCATTTTAGAAAACTCTATGTAATAATATATTAAAATAAACTCAGCGAGAATAGCTATTCCAGTTCCATATATATATAAATATAATATAAACATTTAGGTAGGCACTCAAATTACGGTGCATTAGCGACCGAGTAGTAGGACCGTCGCAGAGTAATAACATTGTGGAGGTCGGTCACGTTTCGGAACCGGAAATAAGACGCAAGAAGTGCAAAACTAAAATAAATGCGTGTATATGTATCACTCGGTATGGGACGAGGCTAACCTAGTTTAAACTGCCGGAACACATTTCTCAAGGCGGACCACGTGTGAACCCTAAAAACCCGTCAATTCGGGCGGGTCAGTTAAAATCAATTAGCGTTGTCTATACTATGTATGCGAACAAAATTGTCTATCTCAGTCTGGCGGTGGACCTTTGGGCCGTTATAGGTTGACCGATACTTGATCAACAAACTATACGGCATATGGATGACGTACACAATATTATGTTATTCCGCGTTATCGTCTCGGATCTTTGTGATTCGATTGCAACTAAAAACGTGATCGTAATAACCCTCGACGCGTTTTGACATAATTGCGCAATGGACTCGGTCAACTGGAAAACGGCAGTACACAATACATTAATACTTACCTATGGCCGATGCGGTATCACGTGCATATCGCCGCCGCCATGTGTCATGACGTTCCATGTACAAAAAGAATTATTATTAAAAAAAAAAAAAAATCTACATACCCAAGTATAATGAAGTGTAAACGAACAAATAGCTCGCAGGTAATAATATCACACGTCGTAGTAGGTAGGTACACGTCTTAGGTTGGCAAACGTAACGTAATGCGAATTTGAATATTGTAATCGGCCGGTTTTTATTGTCATATAGAAGCAGTATACTTACATACTTACAATACAAAAGAACAATAGTCGATTCGATCCTTAATTTGTTCCCTCCAAGACGCCGACTGTAATATATACAAAGGTGAATAATAAACACATTACAACAAGTATGCTGATACGTATACGTAAAATAATAGTTTTAATGATAATAATATATAAATTTGCTATTTGAGACATTGAGTCTAATTAAAATCAAAACAACATATTATAGTAAATAAATAACCTCTCCCCAATAAGCAATAGCTTGACTTAGAGCAAAAGTATCTAGATTCTAAGGATAAAACTAAAAACATGGGTCAACATTGATAATTCCTGAGAATTGAATTTATATTTTTTATAACGTTTTTATGAACTCACAATCTTGTTTTTAAACATTATTTTTAGAAAATATTTATTACAGCTATCGCTACAGTTAACGCTTATTTGGAAATAAACCTGACTAGAACTGTATAAGAATAATTTAAAGTTTTATAAATTGTTTTCTTATAATTCATAGTTGTATATTAATTCATCGCTAACTTATCTAGGAAATAGTATTTAGTTACTAGTACATGACACATTCGAAATTAGTTACTGAGACTTGCCATTAAGTGGACGAACTTTGTATTTACACAACCGTTGTATGGAACACATTAAAACAGTATACTGGTATGTCTCTATGGCTGATTTCATCATTTTTAATTATTACTATTGGTTGATATAGACTCAGCAATGTGCCTTAACGGCAGTCCACAAAGTAGGAAAAACGTCTTCCTACACACTGTGCTCCAGGTATCATTAATCGTCTATATAATGACACAATCGGTCGAGTTGTTTTCGACGACTCGACTAAATAAAATAATTAACGAGCGAAGTGTCTAAGTACGCTTATTGTGGCAGTGTGGTGTACATAATGGCGAAAGACAGCGTAACTGGCATGTCAACACAATGAGCAAAACAAAAATTTGTTAGACTGGAACAAGAAAATTTAAGGTTTTTTTTTGTAACAAATATACGCGTGTGATGTTCTTTATAAATCCCACAAATGCATGTTCTAGATGTGATATGTATGATTTTTCAAAGGTTTTGCGTTTTGTTTATCTTTTGAAAAAAGTGAAGAAGTGTAAAATAGCTTAAATACGTTATTTATGCTTAGCAATTTTATAGTTTTGCACACAACCCATACGTCCTGTATGTTATGTTTGCTTGTTAGATGAGACAAAAGACGCTAGTTTATCGGCTCAGCGACAGCAAATAATCACCCGTATTAGGTGGGTCATGAAAAAAGTTTGTACAACGTAAAAATATAATGCGCTTACTGATGAGTGATGAACAACGATGGATGATATCCCTGAGAAGTCCATCGCCAACAACACAATTCTTGTTCGGCGGCGGATTATGAAGAACATCGCGCATGTATTGTAATAGCTTCATAAATCATATATCCAACGAAATAATCGTACTTCTACTTATAGGACACGAGTTATTATTCAAACAGCCCACTCAACATGACATAATAAGGAAAATGTATGGTTACATTGTAAATAACACTCTTTAGATGTTATCCAAACACATGGCACCAATATCATCCATCGTCGACATGTAAAAAAATTGCTAAAATATGTAGAAAAAATAAATACAGATTAAGAACCGATTATATTTTTGTCAAATATTAATTTGTATTATTGTGAATCATGTTTACCGTGTTCTATACAATACATATTAGTTAGGAATAAGAGCAATTTAAAGTTCATTAAAGTCCCTACACAGTACGAATATTAAAAAAAAATTACAATTACCTAATATACAGAACACAAACGTTAGAATCATTAGGTATTATATGAATGTTAGGTAGGTAATTTGTTTGGTGTAAATATTTTAATTTAAAATAAGGGTATACTTAATAGTTTTTAAACTCCAAGTCTATTAGAATAAAAACCCCGAAATCTCACAAAAAAAAAACAGTACAAAAATGTATAATATTTGTATTTATATTAATAATAGTTTAAAAATCCTATTTTTAGGTTAATTAGACAAACGTTCTTAAAAGTAACCATTCACTTTTTATTTAAAAATTATTTTAACTTAAACTAGTTTTTAAAACACTTACTCAGCTTGCTTTGATCAAATAGTATAAGTAATAAGACAAATATTAACAACTAGTCAACAGTAATTATAGTATATAAATTTAGATATAGTAAGTTTTCAGATTAAAAGCACTGGGCGTCTTTCTAAAATACCTATTCTTAAGAGTCGTTTTTCTATGCAAAACCATTTAATTGGATTAGGTAATGTAGCCTTTGACACTAAACCTGATTCTCTATTAACTTATTTCTGTCTGATATTATAATCAAACATTGTTTTCTATTAATGTATTCTATTTCCATGTAGTTTTAACATAATTAATTTTAAGTTATTTTTTTACGTTGTAATTTAAAGAAGCCATTTGTCTTACACCAGACAACGAATAAATACAAATTATAGTAAGTGCGATCGGCTTGGGTGCGAGACGCAACATTTACTATAGAAACGAGTATGCAAGCGTGAATATTGTATATTCTGTGCTTTATGCGACGGCGTGTGTAAGTGTATGTATGTATATTTATATTATATATTATTATTATTATTATTATTATTATTATTATGTATTTATGTGCGAGCGCATGTTGATCGTACGGCGTTGACCATTTTAGGAGAGACCCGCGACCGGACCGAGCAGTGGGTGTCTGAGCTGTTGCCGGTGCACCGAGTGTATACAGGCGGCCACGGATATCCACGGACCTCAGGACCCGACCGGCGTCGGCTGTCGTCGTCGGGCCGCCCTGTATACACGTCCCAACAATACGGACCTACGGTGTAATGATGATGATAATAATAATAATAATAATAATGATAATAATATACACGTTGTGATTGCATTGTATGGCGTGTGCGTGTGTGTGTGTGTGTGTGCGGTGATCGGACAGAGGCAAGCATAACGTTGTGTCGGTGGGGACGGTGAACTCTCTGGGCGAAGATTGTCGCGGCGCAGCGCACAGACTTGGGCCAGTACGCGAAATACGTTCGACCGGACCGGCCGGCAAACGCGTGAAACAAGCGTAGGGCGAACGCACGTGATCGAATCGAGCCTTAAGTTTGGAGGAATCGGCCGAACCGTTTGTTTGTTAATATTTTTGCTAATTTTCCTACCAGCCGGTAGTCCGCACGTCGTTACGGACATACTGCGCGTGTTATGTTCAAACACAATCCGTGCGCTCGCGAGAAGTACTAGTTTTTCTTAATAATAATAATAATAATAATAATATTAGTACCTGTTGCTCGAGGAACTCCGGCGGAAAAGAACTTTGCAGAAGGAAAAACGCCGCGTGACGCCCGAAAAACGGTAAGCGAACTCCGCCGACAAAGAACAGTGTGGACAAAAGGGGACGGATTATGTAAAATTTTTAATGTTTTCTTTTGGCCGTACAAATCTAACGCATGTGCCTTAAACAACTTCTCTTTTCGCCAATCAGTGATGTACATATAACATCTAGATGGACTACGCGGATGTCACGTCTATGTCGGCGAAACGGCCCCAACTTCTATGAATTTTGACTTATCCCCTTTTGTCCAAACACAATATTATTTATACACCCTGAAATGTATAGTACTGTAACGTGAATACAATATATAGTCCTCGTGACAGGATCAGACGTCTATGAAACAGTTTTGGGTATAAATGCACGGCTACCGAAAACGGGAGACGGGGGGAAATCCCTCTGAAGATTTGTACGGGTATTTTATATGTGGGTATGTTCGCCCACAGAACGCTTTATAGCGGTGTAGACGCGCTGTCCAATCTACCCAACTGTCGAAAACGGTATTCTTCCGGCGAAAACGCGACTTAACGGCTTAGGGAGGATTTGTTGGTCGAAAAAAATTGAATATCTGCCTGTCTGTATGCATACATATATTGTAATTACATATTAAACGATACGGGAAAAGATGACTCGAGTAGTTTCCGGAGCTAACCGGACATGGTTTTAATTATTTTTTGTGTAATCGCGGGTGTAGATAAAATATACATTTATGTTCCTATAAAAAACATTTTGATTTCGAAAGAAAACAATTTACTTTTATTTAAACTAAAATATCAGTTATGTTATTTCTCTCGATACTGTAGAAATGGGAATTTCAAATAAGTATGTATTCAGTTGATCAATTAAATTAAACAGAACAATACAACTTTTTAAATTATTTTTTATAGGCTACCACTGTAAAATAGTAAATAGATAATAACTAAAGTACAGTTAGGTCCATGCCGACTTGCATCCAAAACTGACACATTTAACGGTTCATTAAAATTGCGAATGGACCAAACTCAGGCCACTAAATGTCTATTGATACATTAAACACTTAACCAACGATAAAGCAATCCAGCATTAGAATTAAAATAATATTTCATTAAAATTAATTTATACCGGGGTGTTTATACGAAGCCAAATATTGATAAATTTTAACGCGTTTCTCACACAAAGAGATTCAGAGTTTCTACACACGTTTGTACATAAATTCAGAAAGTGTTGATAAAACGGTTTTTTTTGAAAAAATTGATTACCATTAGACGTTGATAAATTCTAAAATAATATTTATCATACAGTGTTAAACGTACTAACAGTGTTAAGCGTGTGGGCTACCTATACCACATCTAGTTTTTGGCGGTTAAAACTATTCGTCACTGAATAATAATGTATCTATATTATTCATCTCGACCATTACTCATTGGTTTAGTATTTAACTTAATGAGCTTGTTTATACCAAATTAGAAACAAACGTTTATTATAATATATTTATTTGTTTAACCGTGGTCTTAAATTTAAATTTAAGGCATTGTTACCTACCATACATGTCGTATGATCCCATTAATACAGTACAATAAAAAACGATTAACTCTATTAATAATTGAAACGTTTAAGATATTAGCAGTATGAAGTTTAACGGATCAAAGTATTAATTACTTACAATCTTTAAAATATAAAAAGGTAACAATGGGACAATCTCAATGAATAAATTCCATTTCATTACTAAGACATATTCTAACTTAAACTTGTTAACAATCTTTTGATAATTTATTGCAAATCAAGTAATTTAAGACCATCTGCTTTGGCCAGACTGATAGAGCCGTAACGACTAACGAGACATTTAAATGCGAATTAATCGGTTTAAAAGAAACTCGATTGTCGCATCTGAAATCAGAATATACGATCGATTCTTAATATTCTTCTGGAGTACAAAACTGCATGACTCAAACGTCTCGGAATCCCGTGAGCAATACTATGCAGTCAACCTGTTTAGACGTGTGTGATCTGCTGCTGGAATTAATCATCTCGCGGCTATTGCGTACGCCCGACCACACGATGATACTGACCGTGTTGTGGTTAAAATAATCCATCGATTCCATTAGTCGAATATACGTTTGAGATGCTATTTTATCAAGCTCGACGGCGTAAAGCTAGTAGTCACTACTATATTGGCAGTTTATGAAATAAGTCTGCTTAAAAAAAACCTGTACAATCTCAGCCTTTTTTTTGTAATCAAGATACATCTTGAATCGATTCGGGTCAGGTTTAGTCCTTTTTTATACAAAACAAAAAAAAAAGGGGATTGCTTAGAGCGTTTTTCTAGGAGGAAAAAACTATTGGTCACGGATAAATAACGTAAACTCGTAATAATTTACTGTTTATCGCTAAACACTTACCGCTATCTCCGATAAAAAAAAAAAAAAATTAGATTGTAAAAGGACAAAGGATTTTCGTCGATTTCCTCTAATTGTTTCTTCCACGCCATAATTACCGTGTTCATTACCTTTTAGCTGCACGAATCCAGTATCTTTGGTCGTGGTTTTTGGTTTTGTTTTGTAGGCCAACGTTACAGATCTATTACAATAAATGTACAATAATGACATTAATATATTATAACATTGATTCATCAATAACAAAACATGCGAAACATCTGGTCGTATGCGATATTTTTCTATAAATTATAAATAAAAAAACCCGAGTTGCTCTTCCAATTGTTCAGAGTGTTATTATTATTTCGATAATAATATATTTTTTTTCAGCATCCATTGTTGAGATACAGTACCCACGCCGCTTACATTTCGGAAGTGGTATTTCCAGCGCTCACGCGAGTCCCAGCAAAAGTGTAGGTTGATGTTCATACAAAAACTTGCGTAACGCACACACTTTATTTTTAATATTCCTTTGTCACGGTTTTTATTTATTTATTTAATATTTCTACTGGTTTATCCACCCTTTCTTCTCTCTCTCCCTCTCTCTTTCATTTTCACTCTCTCGCTTTTGACCATAGAAAAATACAATATACGTGCATCCGTCTCCGTTGACGATTGTGGCTTTGGCACCGGAATTGCTGCGGAGTCAGACAAAACGGAAAACTGCGTAACCGTACAAAAAAACCGTGTATTGTGTTGCGCTGTTTTGAAAGAAAAAAACCCATCGGCGCGAAGGGACTGTGGTTTTAGAAAAACGATTTATGATTTCATCAGCTCAAAGCAGCAGCGATTTCAATCCGAAGCAAACCGGGCAAAAACGAGAACGGATAAAACGAGTCTGCAAGACATGTCTCTTGTATGCATATGGAATGTGTCGACCGCCAACATAAACGGTATATCTACACAGATACAATACGAATGCTGCAGTTCAAATTCTCTTTTATCTCTCTCTCTCTCTCTTGACTGTCAATCTCGCTCGAAGCTTTACCGTTGATCGCAAGTAAACAGACTTGATACTCGTCAGGGAAATCAGATCATTACCGAGTAGTTTAAAACCACAAAATCCGCGGTGTTCCTACGTCGTACGGCTGAGATTTAATTAGAATACCGTTTCGTTGAAGTGCAGTAATTATTAAAGGATACTTTTTTAACGATTATACGAAAACACCTCGTAGAGTTTGACAAACATATTGTTTTGATCGTCGACGCCGCGCCGTCGGATATGAACTTCCAAAGTTATTTTCAAACTACTCAAAACGAGACCATTTCAATCATGCGTTATACGACTGTGTAACTTCGGGTGTCTCCAATGATCCGTTTTATTATTTACACATACACACACACACACACACACACAAAAAAAAAAGAAAAACAATTATGCGTCATTTGGTGACCTAATCTCGGAGGTTGTAAAAATACAGATGACGAAAATCGAAGGACGTCTCGTTAACCCTGAACTGTCAAATAGGTATAACGCTTTTCTCCACTTAAGTGTATTAATACTATTCAACGCATTTGTGAAAACTATAGATTATTATTTTTTTTTTTTTTTGACAAGGACGAAAAGGATTTTCGGCTAATTTTTTTGTATAGCTCTTACCTAACCGAGTAGAACCGTTTCAAAAAACCTACAAGACAATCGTTATTGCTAATAAACCATGACCACGTTCTATAGTTATGGAATAAAGGAACGCTAAAGCGTGGCTAGTTTTTATCTTGTTTTCAGCGCGTAGGAAAATGGTTTAAGGTTTTACGTTACCAACTCAACATCTGTCATGCGATTTCAGAACCAATTAAAAGCTTATTAAGAACATGAGATGGTTATAGGAAAGACTACACCATATTCTGTAAACTCTGATTGCCAGACGAGAAAGGAGATCCGTGTACTTTCAAATCTACGGGCTCGTCAATAGTTGTATAATGTCGGTTTTGTCAGCAATTTAGTTTTGTCAAAAATCAGAAAGCATGAAAACACAACGATCGACCGTATTGCGATTCCGACGAACTCGTCGGTTGACTGAGCTACTAGATGGCTTTGGAAATGGTAATCCTATTAATTTCTCAAACGGCAGCAAAGGGTGACAAAAAAAACAAACTTTACCAGCGACACAGACACCGCAAGTCCGCCTCCGATCTTCCTACCTATATATGCCGATTATGATCTACGATGACTTGTCGTTGCTGTGGTGTACAGACAACGCGTTAAAGTTCTTCTCGTTGGGGTTACCCACAGTAGTATGAGAACCATTGGGACGATCTTCAACGCTATTTCAATGGACCGGTGAGTCATCCTATGTTTGCGATTCGTCATTGACGTTAACGACCTCAGCAACATCTAGGTTCATCACATGAGTCCGAAATTTGTTTTTATTCTTTATTATTATTGTTATTATTTTCGCAAGACGCAATGGCATTACAATAAAACAAAAATACAATAATGAGATCTTTCATTATTGTGTGCCGTAGCATTGGAGTAAATCACCATCGCGAGACTAGACTTCTTCGACTCGTTCAACGTTTTGTCGGCTAAGCGTATCTCTTCGTGTACTCTATACCTATTAATAACACAGACACAACACACTCATGCGTGTACTTAAGTGTAATATGAGATC